ATATAACATCTGATAAAGAAGACAGAATTGTTGTTATACTAATAAAACAGAATCCAAATAAGGTTGCACTATTAAGATTAACAAGAGAATTAATAGAAAAAACAGAAAAAAAAACAGTTAAAAAAAAAGGTAAGTATAGTAAAACAAAGTAACTATATAATAATAATAGAACTTGTCTTAGAACAAACAGATAATATATCAAAAGAATAATATTAACTAATGAAAATAAAAATAATTCAAAAGATTAAACAAGAGCCAGTAATAAAAGTAGATATAAAAGAGAGCAAGCAACATAAAAAAAAAATACAAAAAACTAACTTAGCAGTTTAATAAAAAAAAAATTGTAAAAATAAGTTTTAGTAACTGAAATAATAAAACAAAAACAAAGCAATTCTTACAAAATTTAAAAAAATAGAAAACACAAGCAAAAAAGTGCAAATGCAAATAGAAAAGAATCAAAACACAACATAGTAATAGAAGAAACAGAAGATCAATATGAAAGGAAACAAGAAATCAAAAGAGAAATCAACATAGTAGAAGAACTATTAGAGAAGAGCATATAGACATTAAGCAAAAAAAATTACAACCAACATAACAGCTTACTTGCCAATATACTAGCACATAATGTGTCAAGAACAACAAAAGAAAAATATATAAAATTCATTAAATAGTCACTAAAAAATAATAAATATATTAAAGTTATTAAAGAAGTCTTCAAAAGGAGTAACTTGTGAATAGAGATAAATTTCAATTGTAAACATAAAAGAAATGAAGCAATTTAAAAATTAGCAGAAAAGAAGATGATTGATATAAACTAATACTAAAAAAGAGAGAAGACAGAAAAGAAAAACAAAGATACACAATAATGAATACCAAAAAAGAAGAAATAATACAACAAAAAATAAAGAAAAGATATATAACAAAAAAGAAAACAAGATTGAAAAAGACTTAAATAGCTACAAGATAAATGAGAAATTCAATAACAAAGTATACATAATGATATAAGACTTGCCAACAGATATCAATAGAAGAGAATTAGAATATATCTGTAAAAGGTTCAAAAATTTTCAAGTAATAAGAATCAAAAGATTAAAGTATAAAGTATTTGCAATAGTGCAGATAGAAGAATCTAAAAAAAAACATTCTATAGGTCATACCAGTTAATAATAATAAACTAGTATAAATAACTAGAAGAGAAAAAAACTATGAAGCAAAAGAAAAACAGAAAAAATATATAACAAAGCTAACAAAATTACTCAGAAATGTTTTAGAAATCTTTCTACTATGATATCTAAGAAGCAAAGATGTAAAGTTAGTTCACATCTCTTCAAACAGAAATAGAAACTAAAAAAGAATAGCAATAGTTATGTTTGCAACAGAAAAAGATATGAATACAACTCAAATGAACCCAATTTTGTATAACAACTTCAAGGTTTATTAGGTAAATGAAAGAAAAAAAAAATAAGAAAAAAAAAAGTCTTAAAGTAAAGAAAGAAAGAAGTTAGGACAGATTTAGCCAAATCTCAAATGCAAGAAAGAATAAAAGCAGCAGAGAAAGACAAAGAAATAAGACTTACTCAAACAAGAATAGAAGCAGAAATAGTGTAAGTCATAAAGATACCTTACTAAAAGAAAGAAGCAAATCCCAAAATCAATAAAAAGAAATTAAGTAAAAGATATGAATACAAAAAAAAAAGAAGAGAATCTTGAAAGAAAATCAGAAAAATTCAAAACACAAAGACAAAAAAAAGAGCTACATATAAAAAACATCTTAAAGTAAATTTGGAAGAAACTAGAAAAACTAAAAGAGACAAGAGATACAGTAGGAAAGTTCTAGCTAATTACTTTTAAGAACAGTTTAGTTAAACTCATAAATATGAATGAGAAGATCAGAAATTTTCTGTATAATAAGGGAAGGAAAGAGCCTTTGAAGAAAAAAATAAAGACAAATCTTCTAATTCAAATAAAAAAAAAAAAAAAGCAGAAAATACAAAAACAAGATATAAGAGTTTAAAAAAAAAATAGAAAGAAAGAAGAAAAGAAATTAAAATTACATGTCACAATATTAACAAACTTAAGACCAGAGATTAAAAATTAGAAAACCTGCTAAGCTAGGCAAAGAAAGAAGAAATAGTATTTTTGAACATAATAGAAACAATCATTATAGAAAAAGAAGAGAAAATTCTGTTATATAATCTTAATACAAGATTTAAAGATTATTGGACAAGTGCAGTATTAGACAAGAAAAAAGGATTAGATATTGGAATTTTAATAGATAAAATCTGAGAAAAACATGTTGATGCAATTAAAAAATTTAACAAATATATGATAGAAATAAAGCTATATTTCAAACAATTAGTACTAATAGTAATTGATATGTATATTCTACCAAATAACAAAATAATTAGTAAGAAAATACAACAAAAAATTATAGAAATAGTAATAAATAAAAGAAAGTATATATATGTAATTATACTTAGAAATTTTAATGACATAGTTGACAACATACTAGACAGACTGTACTTATAAACAATAGAATATAAAAGACTATCAATCTTTAATTAGTTTAAGAAACAAGAGTTTACAAACTCTTTTAGAAGCTTGTATCAACAGAAAAAGCATATATATAGTTAAGTTAAGAAGCAGCAATAAGAATTAATTATATCTGATTGTCAGAAACACTTGCAGCTAGCCTTTAGAAAGTCAATATAAAGGAAGCAAAAGTATAACAAATAGTAACTACAAAATACTAACAATGAACATATAGATAGAGCATATAATTGTGAATTACAGCTGTACAGAAATTAAATATAAAGACCAAATAAGAGCAATATATCTATATAATAAAACAAAAGAAAAAGATTGAAAAGAATATGCTAAAGAGTTTCAAGTACAATTAGAATAGAAAAAAGTGTTGAAACAATTAGAAGAGAATAGAATAAGTAGTATATACTGTACAGATATATTAAACTATATATAGAATGTAATAAAAGAAACTATAATGAAAGCAGCAAATAAATAAATACTAAAAAAAAGATATTTAATACAAATACAAACAGAAGACATCATTAAAGAAAATCATAGAAGTGTAGGCACACAATAGAACTATAACAAATAATAAAAAAGACAAAAGCAAGAAGAAATCAAGAAACAGAAAAAAAAGAAAAAGAAGAGATAAATAATAGACTTAAAAATATTGATAAAAAAATAGGAATAGTATTATCAAAGCTATACAAACAATGATCAAAAGCTTGGTTAGATGATATAAAAGATTGGCAAAGGATTTTAAAATACAGAAGAAAAGAAAAATAAGAATGCGTATAAAAAAAGTCAATAGAAAAAAATATAAACAAAAAATATAAGATGATTAAAACTAATCAAGAATAAATAATTACTAGCCTGTTGAACAAATCATACAAAAAGATAATTCTTGATAGATTTATAACTCAAGATAAAGAGAAAATCAGTCTAATAACAAAATCTAAGACAATTTTAAATAGTCTGACAAAGCACTTTAAAAATCAATTTAGAAAATAGAAAACCAAGCTAGAAAAGATATCTGAGTAATAGAAAGAAATATACAACTCAAGAAAATAAATTCAAAAATTCTGATATGAAAAGTTAGAAGAAAAAATAAAAGAAAAAAAGTAAGAAGATAGTTTAAGAGAACTTAAAGCTAATATAGATCTAAAAATCCCAGAAATAAGCTATATTTTAATAAAATAAGTAGAAAAGAAATTACAAAAGATTTTTAAAGCTTTTACAAATTTGATTCTAGAAATAAAAAAAATACTAAAAAAATGAAATATAATACAAATTTATCTAATCTCAAAAAATATAAACTGAGAATATAATCTGAACAATATTAGATCAATAGCACTAATTGAGACCTTTAGAAACTTAGTTACAAAGATAGTAACAAGAAAATTAGTTAAAATATTTACAGAAAAGAAATACTCAAAGGACTAAACTATACAAGTTTGTTTAGTAACTTAATAGAATAACCAATACATATACTAAATATGATAATGAAAAAAATATAAGAAAAAAAATAAAGAAATATAGATACTTCTGTAAGATATAAAAAAAACATTCAAATCAGTTTCATTTAAAAACCTAAAGTAAGCTCTTAAAAAAATCAAAATACTACAAAAAATAATAAAATATATTATTAATCTTTTTTGTAAACAATAACTTAAAGTGATTACAATTTATGATCTAATAGAAAAAATAACAGCAAAAGATGATATATACCAAGAAGAGATAATTTCTTTACTAATCTAACAGTTTTTCTACAATCTGTTATTAAAAAGAATTCAAGAAATAAATCATTAAACTATATAGTAGAACAAGAGACATTAAGTAACACAGATATTAATTATATTACAAAATATAAACAAGCAGTAATTGCTTATACAGATGATACTATGTGGATTGCAAAAAGCAAAGAACAACTGCTAAAAATTCTTGAAATTACAAAAGAATTCTTCAAAACAAATAATATTAAGATAAACAAAATTAAATCAAAATTTATAATAATGAATTCTAAACTGAAAAAAGAAAATAAAAAAATTATATTTGAACAGAGTAGAATAATAGAAGAACCAAAAAACAAAATTGTAAGATTATTAAAGGTTTGACTAAAGAGCAGAATGAAAGAATCAATAGTCTGCAAAAAAGTAAAAGAAATAATTGATCAAACAGTCAAAAATCTTAGATATAAAAAAATAACAATGAGCCAAATTGCATACATAAACAATACGGTAATAATTCCAAAATTAGGATACCTTTTGCAGTTAACAAAGATGTCAGAAAAGATGATTGATAAGATCCACCAACTGATAATATGTTTGGCTAAACATAAGTAAGTTATTTTACGAATAGTATGATGTAATCAATCATAAAATTTTGATCGTCGTCGTTGGCCAATCAAAATCGAGGATCATCCGCGCAGATTGAACCGATAATCGAATGTGATACAACATCGATAAATTATATAGCGCAGTAATAGTCGGGCAGATCAAAATTCTACAAGGTTTAATTCTTTAAACATGGAAGGTAAGGTTTTTATGCTTCCGTCGCTTTTTAATTATTATTATTATCTTTTTTTTTTTTACTGAACAACTACGTTTATTAGGACACTTCAACTTTCCAAAAGAGGAGGAAAAAATTCTTGAATTCTGGAGGGAAATCGACGCTTTTAATACTCAAGTTAATTTATTCAAGGGCAAACCTCCCTACTCGTTCTACGATGGCCCTCCATTCGCAACTGGACTTCCTCATTACGGACATTTACTGGCTGGTACTATCAAGGTAATGAACACATATTGCGAAAGCAAGTCATATCCTCTAAAACATGCAATGCTTATCAACATTTAAATAATAAAATAGGATATTGTGACTCGTTATGCAACTCAAACTGGTCATTGTGTTGAACGTCGATTTGGCTGGGACTGTCATGGTTTACCTGTTGAATATGAAATTGACAAAAAATTAAATATTAAGGTTTATATACTTCGTATTCATTACCAGCAAATCAATAAAACTTTATTAATAACTTGGGATCATTTGTAACATCAGGGTAAGGACGACGTCCTAAAATTGGGAATCGACAAATACAACCAAGAATGTAGAAGTATTGTGATGCGATATTCAGGAGCTTGGCGAGAAACTGTAGAACGTATTGGCCGTTGGATTGATTTTGATAATGATTATAAAACCTTAAATACCTCTTTTATGGAAAGCGTTTGGTGGGTATTCAAAGAACTATATGAAAGAGGTCAGGTTTACCGTGGTGTAAAAATAATGCCATTTTCTACCGCGTGTACGACTCCGCTTGCGAATTTCGAGGCTGCTCAAAATTATAAAGATGTCAATGATCCAGCTAGTAAGTATAATTTTTGGATAAACAAACTATCAACTTTATTACTTATTCGATTCACAATTTAATTTTTTTTTCTTTTATAAGTTGTCATCTCTTTTCCTTTGGTCAATGAACCGGACGTACTTCTTTTAGCATGGACGACAACCCCATGGACATTACCCAGTAATTTAGCCCTCTGTACCAACCCTAATTATGAATATATCAAGATTAAGGATGAGGCTTCCGGACATACATATATTCTTTTGGAAAAATGTCTAAATATTTTATATAAAGATCCCAAAAATGCAAAATACGTCGTATTGGAAAAAATCCTGGGAAAGGATATGAAAGGGTGGGAATACATCCCTTTATTTGAATATTTCGTCCCTAAGGTGAATAATCATGGCTATTTTAATTATTATATTTTTGTCTTTGAAAATTAACATTTTTTGCCTTCATTGGTGATACATGTTCATTCATCTATCATAAACTCCATAAATTATTTCAATAATCCTTGCTTGTAATGTCTGAATTATAACCAGTTTAAGGGAAAAGGATTCATTGTATTAAATGATACATATGTCACAGATGATAGTGGAACTGGTATTGTTCACCAAGCACCAGCTTTTGGTGAAGATGATCATCGTATATGCCTTGAAAACAACATTATTACTGAAGATGGTTTTCTTCCTTGTCCTGTCAATGAACAAGGCTTATTTACTTCAGAAGTGACTGATTTCGCTGGAATGCATGTCAAGGTTTGGTATTATATTTTATAATAAATATGTGTATATGGGGGTTTTTTTATGACATATGTATTTTCTTGTTAATATTAATATATCCTTTAGGATGCTGATAAGAATATTCAAAAATTTTTAAAGCAAAAAAACCGTTTAATCATTCAATCACAAATTAAACATAGTTATCCTTTTTGTTGGCGGTGAGTAATGGTACCGATTGATCTACACAAATAACAAAGATGAAATTCCTTTGTTGGATGTTTCTTAATATTATTGGTATTCGAATAGATTGGTAACTCTTATTCGCCTTAAATATTTGTAGTTCAGATACTCCATTAATATATAAGGCTGTTCCATCATGGTTTGTTCGCGTCAAATCCATCATCCCTGACTTATTAAAAAACAATCAAGAAACTTATTGGTGAGTACCTCTATTTATATTTTTTTTCCTGTCAAATAATAATACAATTAGACTTTGGAATATAGGGTTCCTGACTTCGTCAAAGAGAAAAGGTTTGCAAACTGGATCATAAATGCTCGAGATTGGAATGTTTCTCGTAATCGATATTGGGGTACTCCAATTCCGTTATGGGTTAGCGATGATTATGAAGAGGTGAATTTTGAACTTTTAATATATATGAGTGACGCCAAAGAAAAGCCAGACTTTAGGCTTTCAAAGTTAATTATTTATTGTTTGCCGGATTCAGCTCTGATGGCAATACATATGACAAGTAATTAAGTTTACTTACATTTCATGTATGTTTATGATCTGGGCTGAGTCTAGAAAATAACAAATAATAAACTTGTAAGTCTGAAATCTGGTTTTCCTCTGGTGTTACCTATATGCTCTCTTAATTTAATGTCATTTGATGTTGCATGCTTAAATTTATCACCATTGTTTTATTTGGCAACAGATTATTTGTATTGGTTCTTTAGCAGAACTAGAGGAATTGTCTGGTTGTGATAAATTAACAGATATTCATCGCGATAAAATTGATCATATTACCATTCCTTCAAAAAAAGGAAAGGGCACATTAAAAAGAGTAGAAGAAGTCTTTGATTGTTGGTTTGAATCTGGCAGGTACGTATAACGAATATAATTTTGATTTAATACTTTTATGTTTAATATTGATATGTTTAATATCGAATATTTATTTATTTTTAATGCTTTATAACTAATAATAGTATGCCATATGCACAATGTCATTACCCTTTTGAAAACAAAGAAAAATTCGAAGCTTCTTTTCCTGCAGATTTTATTGCCGAAGGACTTGATCAAACAAGGGGATGGTTCTATACTCTAATGGTCTTATCCACACATCTATTTAATAAACCTGCCTTTAAGAATCTTATAACAAATGGTCTGGTATTAGCAGCGTATGTATTCATATTGTCATTAAGTCGGAATTTAGTTTTTGCATTAATTACATTCTTTAATTCACATATAGAGATGGAAAGAAAATGAGCAAACGTTTGAAGAACTATCCTGAGCCTCAAACTGTTATTAACGCTTACGGTGCTGATGCTTTGAGGTGCGGTTACTAAATTTTCAATAATTCTTGGCAAGATTATCATATTATCGTTCTTAATTATATCTAAATACTTTCCAGGTTATACCTTGTTAATTCTCCGGTCGTACGTGCTGAGCCATTAAAATTCAAAGAAGAAGGTGTCAAAGAAGTTATTTCCAAGGTTTTCCTACCTTGGTACAATGCATATCGTTTCTTTGACTCGCAAGTTGTGTTATTGAAGAAGGTTGAGATTTATTAACCAGCAATATATGAAATGTTTCTATGTATTTATAAAATAATAATTACAATTACCATAAAATATTTTCATAGGATACTGGCATAGAATTTAAATACAATCCAATTGCAAAGAAATCCGAAAATGTTATGGATAGGTGGATATTGGCATGTACTCAAAGTCTTATAAAATTTGTGCGTGAAGAAATGGAAGGTATGAATTTGTTATATTATCAAATCATATATATATATTTCTGTTGAATAACGGACGCGTTAATCTGTAATCAGCCTATAGATTATACACTGTTGTTCCGAGATTGTTAAATCTCATTGAACAATTAACTAATGGATATGTTAGATTTAATCGCAAGAGACTGAAGGGCGAGAATGGTCCAGAAGACACCATAAATGCATTAAATACGTTATTTGAAGTCTTGTTAACATTATGCCGTGTTATGGTAAAAAAAGAAACCAAAATACATTTTTGAACAATACTTGATGAATTCTGGGTGTTTCATATGTCCTAAAGTTAAATTCGAATAGGCTTCTTTTACCCCCTTCCTCACGGAACATATTTACCAAAACCTAAAAAAATATCTACCATCATCTGATTCCAATGAAGACATTCGTTCTGTTCACTTTTTATCTTTTCCAGAAGTGAGGAATGAATATTTTGATTCTGATATTGAACGTCGCATGTCACATATGCAAGCAGTCATTGATTTGGGCCGAATTGTTCGAGAAAAAAAAAATATTGGATTAAAGGTTTGTTCAATATATATTTAATATAAAGTGGGGTTTTTTTTCCTTCAATTTGGATTACGTGTCATTTAATCATTTGATCTTTATCGTTCTCAGACACCTTTGAAAGAGCTTGTTGTAATACATTTGGATTCACAATATCTTTCGGACGTTCTGTCACTTGAAAATTATATCATTGAAGTATGTTCTGTACATCATACAAAGCTGCTTTGTAAATTTCAATAATTATTTTTAAAACAATATTTTTTATTAATTAGGAACTAAATATCAAAAGCCTTCTTGTTACATCGGATGAAAGTAAATATGGCATAAAATACCGAGCAGAGGCTGATTGGAAAGTGTTAGGTCAAAAACTTAAAAAAGACGCTGTCAAAGTAAAGAATGCTCTACCAAAATTGACTTCTGAACAAGTCAAAGATTTCGTACACAATAAAGAGATTTTGATTGATGGAATTAAAGTGGTTGAAGAAGACCTTCAAGTAGTAAGGTATTTCGAAGATGCTAATAGCCATTATGAAACAAGTACCGACAAGGATGTTCTTATACTTTTGGACGTCAAAATATACGATGATTTACAAGAGGAAGGATTGGCTCGTGAAGTTGTGAATCGTGTTCAAAGATTACGAAAAAAGGTAAACAACCTCTTACAAGTATTTTTGAATGTAGTTCTATTACATCTATTACTCACTTCTAGTTTATATATTATTAGGCAGGGTTACAGCCTACGGATCCGGTATTAACATACTATAAGTTTATCAAGGATGTCAATAATCAAATAGAAACTGTTCTTAAGACACAAAGAGACATTATTGTCAAGACTTTAAAACGCCCACTATTACCAATTGCGGACAAAATTGGAGTTGAAGTCATCATTGAAGAAGAGCAAGAGGTTATTATTATACTTTTTATAATTTACATAAATATATTAAATGTATTTTAACAGCCATCTGAATCGTATATTTCTATAGATCAATGAATCCACGTTTTTGTTATGTTTAGTTAAAGATTGGTAAAATAATAATATAATAATATAATTTAATTAATATCTCCGTCTGTGATCATAAAGTTGTTGGATAAAGTTACACATTGCAAATCATTTCTAATATAACTAAATATGGTATGGCTATGCGTGGTGCAAATTGAAGCCATGGAGATAATGTAAATTATCGTTAGCCAAATTAAAAATATATATCCGTGACATCAATATCACAATAGACGGATATAGTCTAATAAACTACCATATTTCTTCATGGAAATATACACCTTATACTTCACCTGTCGTGGCGAAGTTAATATTTAATATTAATAAAAAGAAAACCGTTAAATGGCCACAAACGACCATTTTAAAAATATAAATAAGGTAGGGTATTTAAAGGAATAATGAATCAGTGAGAACCTTAATTAATGATAAAAATTTAGTTTTAAGAGTCATTCATATGATATAATTTATTGTTATCATTACCGTTAAGCATCATCATGGAGTTTTGAATACGTATAACGGAGTTACAGCAAAATACTCCGGATTTGGTAGCCAAGCCACTGATCATAGAAAATAGAAAGACAATGCACAGTAATTTCTGATTTGCTAGTTTAAGTACGTAATTTAGGTACGTACTTACAATCATCTGCCTCAAGGCGCAGTTTCGTAGACAAGCAGTTTCGCTTTCGAAAAGGTCCGATCATAACCAAAATAATTTTGGCTTTTCTCTGAGTATATACTTCGCTTAGACACGTAATAAAGTTTATGAATTTTTTTGTACCTGAAATAATATAATTGAAGGTATGAAAAACTTCTATCAAAATTTAATATTTTAGCTAAGCATAAAATCATGAAAATATAATTTACACAAAGGGTAAATTTTCCCTTTGAATTTATTTTTTTACATAGTTAACATAGCTATTAAGTTGGCTTTAATCATAAGCTGTAAAAAGTTAATTATATAAAAGAAAATGCCAAGTCAAGAACATAATCTGGTCGCAGAAAGGCAAGCAGCCACTCATGGTGTACCGGATCTTGATAACCTCGTACCTGATTCCGTGTCTAATCATAAAAAAGATGCAGAGTTTTCTGAGTCCAGAATTATGGCAGTAAATATTGTTTAAACCATTCATAATTTTATAATTTTATTCATTATTTATCATAATAATTAATAACTTTCTTTATAATATCACTTATTGATTTTCATATAATTTTCATATTATATACATCAGGAAGAGAAAAGTGACAACGCATCTCAAAAAGATACACCAATTAAAAACCAATATAATCAAACTCGAGATACAAACGTACAAAACACTGAACCAATGGATTGGACACCAACAAAATCAGATGGGTCCCTTCCTTCTCCTGTGCGATCACGATCGCGATCCGGTTCTGAATCACCTTCACCTAATAAGTCGGTTGCTGTCAATTTAATTCCGCTTACCGATTCGATTTCATTCGCTTCTAAACACTTGCTGTTTACTCCTGATCAGGAGGTGAAGGTGGGTAGAGTGAGCGGAAGTCGTAATCAGAAAGAAGCAAGACAGGATAACGGTGTGTTTATTTGTGATGTCATGTCTAGAGAACATGCGATTCTTAAGGAAGAGAATGGAAAGGTAAAAAAAATACTTGTGCTTTTTGTATTCTATCCATATATTGATTATTCGATTTTTAATCATTTACAGATTTTAATCAAAGATACTAAAAGTACTCATGGTACTTTTGTCAACAGCATTAGGCTGGGAGATGGTACAAAGGATAGTGAATGGCGGGTGTTACATCATGGTGACATTATTACATTTGGACATAGCGTGAGACGTAATCAAAGTAATTAATAGTTTCATTCTTAATTCATCTTTTATTGCATTTTTATTAAAATTTATTTAATTTAATATCTATATTATAGATTTGTACAAGCATTTATCTGCTTGCGTTTTTTATCCTAAGGGGAAAAAAGATGTACCTAATATACCAATCTCTCTCAACGGTAATTCAGTAATTGGACATGCTATAGATTCGGCAAAAAACCAACCCGATAAACTTGAAGGACAGATTTCTGGTGCTATGACGAATATAGCACGAGTCCAAAATCCACCTATAGAACCTTCTCTAAAAGCTACGTCATTAAAGTATGTTTACATATCTTTTATTTTTATCTTTATTTGTTGCGGTTTAATTATTAATTAATTAATTTTATACGTGTATACATATTTTCTAGCAAAGAAGGAAAGTCAGCAGAGATTCAATCAAATAATATAGTCCAAAAAGCTGACGATGAACAAGTAACATCTGTTAATGATGTTTCAACTCCTGGTCACGGTAAAACAGAGTTTACCGAATTCAAATCGCGCGAAGTGGAACATGCTGAATCGTCTGAAGGAGGTAAATATTAATTCTCTTCAATTTAATAGTTTTATAAATTATTATTTTAACTTTTAATCTTTATACGTTTAAGTTAATCGTGTAGATGGACCTGTGACTACAACCTCAACAAATGTTGCACAGACTAATTCTAACCAAAATGTATTGGTGAAACCAACTAAACATATATCAGCTGTTAAACTAGAGAAACGAGAAGCCAATAAAACCGAAGTCCATCCTGTTAAAGAAGAAATTTCCTCTGATGATTTAAGTAAAGCTAATGAACATAAACCGGTGACCCCAGCGATCACTCCAGATTCTAGTCCAATCGAAGCACCTGTTGACTATTCAACTAATAATTCACATAGAGTACCTGCGATCACCATCTCAAATCACGAGAAAGTTTCCTCGCAGGCTTTAGTAGAAACAAAATCCAGAGTTCCGTGTACGGGTAGCAACGAAAATATGTATGTAAGTAATGGGGAAGGTCCGTCTCATGCTAATGGAGCTGAAATTATTGTTTCTACGCCGCATCGTAAACGCAAATTTGACGAAGTAGATGACGGGAATATTTTAGAGCAAGAGCAAGAGCAAGGGCAAGTGGACTCACTCAATAGACGATTAGCTGAAGTAGAAGATCGAACCAATAAACGTAGGAGGTGGGAACTTATCACTTCCACGGTAATTGGTATGGTGGCCGGAGTTGTCAGCCTTGGGGTCGGTGCCTACATGTTAGGAAATTGACCATGTATAATTTTGCATAACATTCTATCGTAATGGTACTATTGTTATACCGTTTTGTTTATATTATCGGAATGTCACTTAAATTCTGCATTTGTTATTGCGTTTTAAGAGCATTAGTGGCCCATTTTCCAACCACACTCATATTTTCGCTGTTTTATCTTGAATGTTAATCCTTTTTCTTTTTCCTTTGATACATAACCCGGTCATCATTTAAGCTAAATACAAAAGAGAACATTTATATTTTTTTCTCTGTTCTAACTGAAATATATGTATATATTCCAACCATAATATCGGGTAAATAAATTCATTAAATTTTTGTGCACTTCAAAATATGTATAAATATATGTGTGTATATGTATGGAAATCTGGAAGTATCATATTGGTATAGTTTTGCTTATCAAGATTAAATGTTTAACATGAAACTATGAATTAAGAATTCAAAGTTTGACTAATTCTAGCACTATTCTGATATTTTAAATTCGGTTTTTTGATTTTCTAAGCGCGTGCACTCGGAAAATAATGAGAAAAGGTGTATTTATAGTAGTCAAGTATATATTTGGTATTTAGAAAAGATGTACTTAGAGAGGTTTGATTGTACTTTTTTTTGTATTTTAATTTATTTAACCTTAATTTTAATTAAACAAAAAAAACAAATTATTTTTATTTATATTACAGTCAATTCTTTTTAAATGCATGTCAATGGGACCAATACTTTGACTTGCAGTTAACGAAAATATGCAATTAAGGAACAATTAAAATTATTAAAAATTTTATTAAAAAATAATAAAATTTTTAAAAATTAATATTTTTGATACTAATCCAATTTAGATGATTTAATTATTAAAAAGATCATCTTATTAAAATGAATTTAAATTTTTTTTTAGCTTGGCAGTAATTGTTGATTTTTATTCAATTTTAGTAGGTAGAAAAGGTTCTGTTACATATTTGCAAAAATATTTTATTTATTATTTAATTTTTTGCTTCTGTTTTTTTGGTAATCATTTCTTTAATTGTTGTAATTTCTTCTGTTGTTATTATTGCAATTATTATTGTTGTTTCTTCTTCCTTCAAAGTTCTGTTTTTTTTGGTTTACATTATGTTTCTTTTTACAATTTGTCATAAAGTATTCAGGATTATCATAGTAATAGCAGAGAGTTCCGTTCTGTACAAAATTAGGTCTAGAGCTATTTTTTCTTTTTGTAGTATAAGTTGTATAAGGCTGTAAAGGTTGTTAAGCTTGTAATGTTGGTTAAGGTTAGGTTATGATTGAGTTAATGTATAATTGATCTAGTTGTTTAGTAATATTATTAACATTATTTTTTTTTGAAGCAGTCATAATTTTTTTCTAATTTCTAATGTTTTGCTTTTTTAATAACAGTAGTTAAGGTTTTAGGTACTAATGCTTGTACAGGTATTGCATATTCAGGTTATAATTCTTTAATAAAAACTTAAATAATAAAATTATCTAAAAAGTTTTATTAACATTTACTTTTCTTTGAAGTTTTTTAAACTGAGTAATATATGTATTAACAATATTGGTTTCTTGTATAATATTAAAGAATTCTTATTGTTATATAGTTTTCTTCTTGATTGTTTTAAATTGCTTTAAAGATCAAGTTTTGAATTAAGGAATATTCTTTTTATTATATGAAAGAAAATATTTATTCTCAAGTTTTTTGAGCCAATCTTCTGCATTATTCTTTATATATGCTTGATTAATTGCAAGTTTTCTAGTTTCAGTTCATCTATTGGCAATAGCAGCTTATTCAAATTTATTAATCCAATCAACTGAATCTTTATTTTCATAATCCTTAAATAATACAATTTTAAAGAATGATTTTTTTTTAGTTTCAAGAATATTAACTAGTTTATTAAGGTGTGGTGACTTAGTGAAGTGGATAAGTTGTCATACTTCCAAGTGGTAGGTTGTGAGTTCAAAACCCACTGATGGTGAAATTTGGATAATTATTCATGTAATATATAGACAGTATTACAGTGATGACATTCTGTCAATCAGTTGGGATAGAATACCTGTAACTATGGTCACACCAGCATAACTGGCAGGTTTGAGGTATTACAGAGGAATGCAAACCGGTACCAGGTAGTGCAAATCTAAAATAAGTCCTCAAGCCATGTAAATTCATAGAACTGAAAAGCCAGAGCCTATTTGGAAATTCTGAGCAAAGAGATAACATGGATCTTTGATGGTACTACTGTAAAGGCTAGACTTAGGAAATAGATACCAATATGAAAGATTTGGGTAGGCAAGAATCTTAGATAAGAAGTACTACCAACTAGGCTATTGGATTTCAGACTAGAGGAAAAGGATATTGGGTCAGTCTCAATATACCAAGGACAGATCACAGTCCTTCTGGGCTATTTGTAAAGAAAATATAGATAAGATAATGTAGGTAATGTTCCTAACATCAGTTTGATTTTGAATGTTTTTTCTTAGCATAAAGTAAAACTAGTATAAAATATAGATCTTTTGTGATTGTTGTTAAGAAAAAGCCAGGTAGCATTCTAGTTGATTTGCAAGAATAGAGGAAGGATGTATTCCATCTGATGTTGAAAGAATTATATTGATATGTTGTAGGCATTATTAATGTTTTTGATAGTTCTATGTGTAGGTTGTTCTATAACATATTTGGCATGATAAAGATGATATGATGGATTGTATATATTGGTATAAAGAAGACTGAGTATGTGTGGTTGGTTTTGGTTTTTAACTAGTTTGTCAGCTATGTTATTTAACATATTACTACTATATGCAGTTACTTTTTGGAAATTAATTTGAATTTGGTATACAGTAATAAAGTTTAAGAGTGTGTGTCATATTGGCTAGTAATTAAAAGAGTATATTTTGTTAAGTATAGGTGGTGACTGTATGAGCTTATTGTATTTGGAAATTATTGATTGTGAGTCAGTATAAATAGTAATAGTACTCTGTTTTGGGCATGTACTAACAGCAGAGAGAATTGCTATAAGTTCTGCTTTGTATAATGAGGGCCAAAGTTTAATTTTTGCTAAATATTGATGCAATATAGTTTCATCTTGGATTTGAATTCAACCAATATCCATTTTGCATCTGTCATTGGTAATATTGCTTAAAGAGCTATCAGTATAAAATGTAAACTGTAAGTAGTATAAGTTGTTGTATGCAATTTGTTAAAGAATTTTTGTAGCTTAATTTTGTATAAAGATGTCAGGTATAGCATTATTATATATAATGATATTAGGTTGTGGAGGTATTGTAGTAGGGTTTCATAATGTGATAGAATATAATAGATTAAGTAGATTTGCATGAAGATTGAGTGTGATAGAGGAATTAGAATTAACTTTTCTGCCTAGGAATTTGGTTGTAAAGTTGGTAGGAATATTATATGTGCATTTGTTTTGTATATGATTGGAATTGAGGTAGCATCTTGTGTATTGTTTACAGGTATAGTTAACTGAAGAGTATAGGTGAGTATGTGAGGTATCAAAGTCAATTAGCCAATGTGTTATAGAGATTGTGTCTTCTGTTTGGTTG